TTTCCTCCTACCGAAAGCCAGAAAAGGCAGAGAAAGAAAAGATGGAGATTTTTTTATTCTCCGGGGAAAATAGGGATTTGTTTGGAGCTGGCCCCACAATCCTTTCTCTGTTTGCTCGTGCTTGAAATGTCCCTTCTCATCTTTTGACAAGTTTCTTCTGCTTATTCCTGATCCCGCTTGGCAGCTGGGCTGCCTCATCCAGAGTCTCCCCATGGCTCTTGGCGCAGAGCTCATCCCGGTCGCCGGTGGGAGCAGTTGTTAGGCATACGTGTAGCTTAATTAGGTGCCTAAACCCCCCACAGTGCATGCTGAAAACCAGTTTATACTGGTGCTGTGCATGGGTTTTCATCTCAGCTCTTGCTGTGAGCGCCCAGGCTCAGCTCAGCTATGTCCCCTCTGGACCAGCATCCCAGACTCAGCCCCAGGGACCTGCCCACACGGACCTTTAAATAGGAAGACAGCCCAAAGCCCCTGCTGTGACATGCCCCCTTCCCACTGCGACGTCCCCCCTCCTGACTCTCTCCCGGCCCGTTCCAGAATGAAACGGATGACAACCAGATCCAGCTGGTAGGAGGTGACGTGGAGCTGCCCAAAGAGCTGGCCAAGATGATCGAGCAGGACAACGAGGAGGAGGAAGAGAAGAACTCGGTTATCGGTCAGCTCAGCAACATCCAGAACCTGGACCTTGATTCCTTGAAGGACAAAGCTTCGGCCACGCTAGAGGACCTGAAGCAATCGGCGGAAAAATGCGCCGTGATGTAACGGGGCCGGTGTGACAGTGGGGGAGCAGGGAGGGGATGCAGCGAAGGGTCTGACGGGGGCTGCTGCCAGCGGCAGGGACCCCACCAGTGTTGTCACCCTTGCCGTGTGTCACTCGGGTCCTCCTGAACCGTGTGACCCCTTGAGTCCCCAACCCAGGTGTTCCTGCTGTGTGGTGTTTGTTTCGTTCTCTGGTCTGAGGTTAGAGCAAAGAGCCAGCATGTCCCCCCCGTATCCCAATGCCTCCTCCTGTGCCCATGGCAGCGGATGTCCATAGCCAGAGCCGGGGCAGTATCAAGGAAGGAAAATGACCTTGGAGTGTTATTGGCCCATGTCAGCGTGGGAAGGACCGTGTGTAGTGGCCATATGCCGTGTCTCTGCCTCCACATTTCCACCCAACCTCCTAGAAATGATTGGGAGGCTCCAATTTGCTTCGCAAGGACGAGGCATGGTGCAGAACACCCTCCTTCCCTGCATCCCGTACCCATCACATGAGAAATAACATCCCGTCCGTGCAAGGAACACCAACCCCCTCTGCCCTTGAGGGCTCCTCTAAAGGAGCCAGCCAGGAAGGACCTGCTATATAACCTGCTATATGATCCCATTTATCCCTGTGGGAAGGGGGGTGTTGAGGACCAGAAGGCTGAAGCCTGAATTAACACCAGAGAGGAATAAAACTCTCCCTGGTGCTCAGCTGAGCCCACACCAGCCCTTCCCTGGAGCAGTGGTGTACACCATCCCTCTCCTGGGGTGGGATCCACTTCTGTCCTTGTTCCTTCCAGGAGAAGAACAAAGTGATAAGGAAAGATCTCCTTCTCCTCCCCCTCCATCGTGCTGTAGCTGTGCGCTGTGCTCGGTTGAGTGTCCCTCCACCTCCTGTGCTATCCCCATGCCATGGTACTGTTATAACCGGTGGAATAAATACCAGGAGATGTCTATGCATTTATTTTTCTCCTCAAGCTCTATTCTCCTGATCAAGGTTTTGGGGTGCCCCTTTACAGAGCTCGAGGGGGAAGCATCCCAAAGAAAGCATCACTTCTGGTTGTGGTCACATTTGGGACCAAAGGGATGCTACAAGTGGCTTGTTGTTGGCAGTTGGGTTTAAAAGCAAACAAAATTCCCATTTTTTCACAGGTTTTTGGCTATTTTTAATATAAAACCTTCAGAACACTCAGTCTCGGACACTGTGGGATGTCTGCAGTGCTGCTCTGAGCAAGGACACATCTCTGCAGGGATGAGCCCGTGATAAGTATAGGTGTGACTCCCAGGCGAAACAGCTCCAGCCAGATGGCATCCCGGCAGGCAGTGGGCTCCTGCGGCGAGGCTTCCTAGAAAAACCTGGCATGAGCTAGGAATTTATCACTCCAAATCCCAAGGGAGCTGATTAACTGCACTTTGGTTTTGCGGGGGAGGTGGGTCATCCAGGAAAACACAGGAGAGGGTGCTGGGAAGCTGATATTGTTGTCGTTATTATTAATCATCATAATCATTATTGTTGTTATTATTAATATTATTAAGGATGCTGGATCAGGCCACGGCTGGGGCTGCTGGGCCAAGAGATTCCTTTCTGTCCCCAGTTCCCTGTTAAGACTGTGCCAGGGCCAGGTAATTCTGGGAAACTCCTGATCTCCATCCCTGAGAGGACAGACAGACAAAGGCAGCTCAGGTGCGATGCTCTGGCTGTGAGGACATACATCCTCATGACCCTCCAGCCCCAAGGATCAGGAGACCTGCCAGCAGTTCTGGGGACATCTGCCCCCAGGGATCCCAAATCCAGCCCCACACAGCACTGGGAGCTGGGGAAAAATGAGAGGGAAGATTGGCAGGAGCAGCTTTAGCTCTGAAAGGAGATCATACCTGATGAGGATCAGCCCAAGCTGATCTAATCCCCCATCAGGAAAGGGATAGCAGAAAGCAGGCACGGACTGAGCTGAGCCCTTGGCATTTAAATCCCAGGCTGATGGTGAGGCATGATCAATAAACATCACAGGGGAGAGTGGGATCCCGACCAGAGCAGGGAGTGTTGGGGCTGGGGGATGCAGTCTTTCCGTTCATCCCACTCAAAACCAGCCAGGATTCTCTCCTCCACCTTTTCCTCCGCCCCCCTTCCCCTCTCCTCCATTCCCGACCCTTCAGCCTTGCTCCGTGCTCTCCCCCGGCCCACGTGCCACCCCGCAAAGGCCGCGTGAAGCTCAGTGGGTTTATTTTAGGAGGCACCATGACCCCCAGGCATGTGAAAAGCAAAGCAGCACACGCTCCCCCCCGCCTGGCTCCGCGAGACGTGTTAGGCTTCAGCAAAGCGTTCCCAGCAAAGCGTTCAAAGCACTGGGAGCTCCGAGGATGCTCCGACCTCGCATCCCTGCTCCCATGGCTGGATCGCTGCCTCTGCCGGGGCGGAGAGGTTGAGATGGACGGAGAAGAGTTTGGGATGGCGGGAGCAGGGGCAGGCCTTTTCCTTGCCCATCAAGAGATCCATCCCAGCTTCCAGTGTTCCCTGCAGCCGAATATCCTGGCTGCCTCCATGCCATACAACTGCTCCAGGCATCAACACACAGACTAAAAAACTTAAAGCAAAGAATTAGCATGGATTAAAGCACAAAATGTAATTTTTCTCTTCTACACTCCCTGTATAATTCCCTCACCTATGGGGCCAGGATTGGGATGGATTTGTCCAAGTGAGCCCTTGCTGGCTGCTGAAGGATGCCGGCAGCAGGGAATTCTGTTGATAAAATAAAATAAATTTTACTGATCAAATAACATAAATTTTACTGACAGAACTCCTGCCCTCCTGCACCAGCCCCTTCCTTACCTGGCCACAGGATCTTCCTCCTTCCTGCTGTGGAGCCTGGGATGAATAAGTGGCTTCCCCAATAGATTAAGCATTAAATGAGCAATTGTTAAAGTGCGGAAAAAATTGAGCCACCATGGAAGGCTGGGGGAATGTTCCTTCTTTTTGCAGGCAATTAAACTTCCCTGTGAGCTGCTGCGGGAAGGGATGGCCCCATCCATCCAACTGCTGCTGGTCCAGCTACCGGGATTAATCCAGATTAAAGAGCCCTGGGAAACCCCAGGGTTGGTTCCACGCACTGACCCAGCTCACTCCAACCCGTTGAGTATCTGAACTCACATCAACCCACGGGCTGGCACCATGAGTGTGACAACCCATCTGCCACCCCCGTGTGTCTCTTCGGGTGACAATCTGGCCCCAAGAGCTACCCCACGAGGGTTGGAAGAGCCCTTTTGGAGAGCTGGGTGACGGCACGGATGGGACCAGAGCACGGCAGCGCTTGCTCCTCCCTGTGAAGCTGAAGCCACGCTGAGTGACAGAGGCCACACTGCCAGGCTGGGCACTGCTCCCTTCCTGCCACCTCCCCTCCGGCCCGGGCGGTGACATTTGGGTAGCGCTCGGCCGAAAAGCCCTGATGCAGAAGAGACTCACATCCACCCCGACACAAAGCCAGGGCACCCCAAGCTCCATCACCCCGGGGGGGAGCATCCGGAGCCTCGTCCTGCTTCCAAAGGCTCCGGAATCAGCCGCGCATAAAGGCAGATGCGATTATCCGCGCCGGCTGCTGCAGCCAGCCGGTGCAGCCATCCCCAGTGGCTCCGTGCTAGCCCCAGGCCTGGGGGAGGACACGGGGTTGGAAAGCTCTTTAAAGCCTTGGGATATAATCTCTGCTCGGAATAATAAAAACATATAAAAATGCCTTGTCGCATCTGCCCAGGAAGCTCTTCACCGGCTTGGGCACGGAGCAGCCAGCACAGGGGCAGGATCTGGGGAGAAGGCTGTCTGAGGAAGAGCTTGGCTGGGGTCATGGCTCAGAATATCCTTAGAACCCCCCCCAAAAAATCCCCCCCATCAATTGCTCCAGCCCCTCTGCCTTCCCTCCCAGCCCAGCCCAGTCCTTCTTCACCCGCCACAAAAATCTATTGGAGAAAACAAGATTTTACGTAACAGCTCGTGTCGTTCTGCTCTGTGTTTTCCACACACACAAAAAATAAAAAGATGGGAAGTGAAAACAAGGTCAAACCTTGCTTTGGCTGCCTCGTGTCCCCAGGGAGCACAGGGAAGGAGAGCAACACTGGAGCAGAGGAGAGCACACCCTGGCTCTGCTCCTGGGGGACAGGGATGAGGGTCCCCAGCCCTCCTCGATGGCTCCAGGATCCCATGATGGCTCTGGGTCCTGGGCTTGGCTAGAGACCCTCCTAGGGCTCAAATCACAAACCTGAGAGCAGAGGAGGTGGAGAAACCAAAATTAGCATTTATTAAAGACAATAAATTACATTCCCTTGAGATACAGATTTTGAGATGAGTCCCTCGTTTTGCAGGACAGGCGGACCTCAGCACCCCTGACAAGTGATTGCCGGAAATATGGTTTGGATCTTGGGGTTGTCAGAGCCCTGAGGAGTGGAGCAGAGCATGCAGGATGCCGAGGATGTCTGCCCCTGAAGGTGGTTGATTCCTGCTCATGTCAGACTCAGTCGGTCCCTGCTGAACACTGCTCACACCCATGACAATGATGATGCAGTCAGTACCTGCCAGACTCCAGGTCTGGAAACAAAAAGCCTCATTCCCAACACTCCAGCAGTGAGAGGGAGGGATGGTTGGGCTGGGACAGTGCAAGGGGGTGCTGGAGGCTGGATGAGCCGTGGTGGGTACAGAGGTAGAATGCTGGGTGAGGAAGGCACAGCAGAGCACCCCTGACCACCCTGAGCTCCTGGCTGGGATCTGTGGACCTGGGCTGTGCAGATGCTCCCCCAGAATTTGGGAGGTGGAAGAAACACCCAGCCAAAAAATCAGGGTGGATATTCTGCTGGAGCCCGGTGCCAGGATAAAAATACCCATCCCGTGGCAGCCAGCGGAAGGAATTAGAGTGGAATAACCCGCCCGCCGTGGAAGGGGAGGCTGCAGCAGCAGACGGTCGAGGCAGGGCTAGGAGGGAAACGAGCCCAGTGCCTGGGAGAGGAGGCAGATGGCCCTGTGGACCCCCCAGGGATGGGAGCCCGAGGGTGACTTCTGAGGCGTTACCCTGATGCGGCGGGGACGGAAGCCTCGTCTGTCTTTCCGACGGCATCTCTGCACAGGGCAGTGAGCAGCATCCACTGGCTGGCTCCTGGGAATCACTGCAAGGTACAGGCTGTGCCGGGGGACAGAGGGGACTCACCTGGCTGCACACGCCACTGTCACCCTGTCCAGGTGGGCTCCCAGACTTGGATGACCCCATGCTGGGGGGAGACGATGGTGTACGGGGCCGGGATCACCCATGGGCAGGGATATCCCCATGGCTGTGGCAGCTGGAGGGATATTCCCCGCCAATCCCCTCTGAAAAGGGGGACTCACCGCTCCGGATGGGCTCTGCCAGCGCCTCCTTGCCCACGGACTGTGCCTGCCGCATCTGCCAAGGGAGAGGAGAGTTCCCTAGCCTGTATCCTCGCTCAGCTCCAGACCCACACCAAACAACCGTACCTTGATCTGATCCTTCAGGTACTCAGCTCGGGCCATCAGCATCTGGATCTGGCAGAGAGGGAGAGATGACACAGTCTCTTTGGAGCCAGGTCAAGGGGGACAGGTGGGTGTCCCATGGCTGGCACTCACCTCCGCATGGAGCAGCTCCCGTCGCCGCCCTGCTGGTTCCGCTGCAGAGGAAAGAGGGATGTACCATTGGACAAGGCATGAGAGCAGGATCTGCCCCTGCCCTCGAGCCCCCACCACAGCCCCAACTCACCAGCCAGGAGGAGCAGCAGCTCCCCCAGACTCTGCTGGTACAGCTCCAGGGCGTCACCATCATCCCCGCCTTCGTCCTCCTGCAAGAGATCCCAGGAGCTGGCTGCAGCTGGGGGGGATCCATCAGCTACCTCCCCACCAGGTTTGCTCCTTCCCCTTCTACTTGAGGGAAGAGGGGGCCCCCAAACCCACCCCTCACCTTGGCCATGGCAGCTGAAGCCACTTCCAGCGCTGCACAGAGCCGAGGCTTGTCCTTGGCCATCTCTGCAAGGAGACATGGCAATGGGGATTGCCCAAAACATTCACCCTTCAGCCCAAAACCCCACCAGTGCCCCCTGACCGCTCCAACACTGGGGAATCTCCAAAAATCCACCACCTTTAAGGAGCTCTCTAGCTGGGTTCCCTTTCTCCAGTAGGTTCTTGTTGCTGGAGTTGACCAAAGCCTTCAGCTCCTCTGCTCGGGAGATGTACTGCCCCATCTGCACACATTTTTGGGGTGAGGGGATGTCACGGGGGACAGAGGATGGGGGTGCAGTCCCCCACCTTCCTGGGGGTTTTTGGCTCACCTTGGCCCGGATGGCTTCTCTTCGCCGTGCATCGCTTTCATCTGCGGGGGAAGGCGACCAAACACTGGGGTGGGTGGACTGAAAACTGATCTCACCCGGGGTGCTGCCCCCCAAAACACACCCAGGGCACACACAGCCCCCAAGGGGGACTCACAGTGCAGTGCTGGCACGAAATACTCCAGGGCTTTGCAGTAGAGGGAGAGGGCGGCGTTGGCATCCTTCTCTTGATCCTTCCTCACTGCCTCCACCACCAGGTCAGTCTGGGGGACACGAGGTGGGGCTCAGGGCTCAGCCTCCCCATATTCCCAGGGTGCAGCCCCCCAGTTCCCTGCTCACCGCCTTGCCCAGGCTCTCAGGGCCTGGGACGTGCTCCATGTCCACAAAGGGGTGGGCAAAGAAGCGCTCGAAGGAGATGCGCTTCAGAGGGTCCCTCTCCAAGAGTTGTCCCAAGAGATCCCGGCATTCTGGGGAGAGCTGGGGTCGGCTGGGAAGCTGGGGAGGGAAGGGGCTGAAACCACTGACTGCTGTGAGAACCCATCCCATCCTATCCCATCCCATCTCATCCCATCCCATTCCCCATTACCTTCACAACCCAGTCACTGCGAATCTTCTCCTCCAGCTCGGCAAAGGAGTGAGAAGCAAAGGGTGGCTCCCCAAAAAGTGCTTCTGCAGGAGGAGAAGGAGAATTGGGGGGAGCTGGAGAGGGAGAAACCTGCCCTGAGTGGACTCCCAAGGAGATAAAAGCCAAAGCCCACCGTAAAGGATGACGCCCACCGACCACAGGTCCGCGCGGGCATCGTACTGCTGGCGACACACCATCTCAGGGGCCATGTAGAGGGGGGGGCCCCGCAGGACGTGCTGCTCATCCCATGGCGACATGTACTGTGCAAAGCCAAAATCTGGCAGGGAAAGAGCTCATGGAAGGACAAGGAGAAAGAATTCTCCCCCACCAGCCTCTCCCAGGGAGCTGCTCTGACCTGCCAGCTTCAGCTGGGGGTTCTCCGGCGCGCTCAGGAGGATGTTCTGCGGCTTGAGGTCCAGGTGGGAGATGTTGCGGTCGTGGAGGAACTTCAGGGCGCAGGCTGGGCGGGTGGATGGGCACGTGGCAGTGTGGCCCTGCCCCAAAAAACCCCCAGGGAGGGTCCCCAATAGGCAGTGTGTCCTTACCGAGCTGCTGCAGGAAGATGCGTGCCACCTTCTCAGGGAGGATCCTGCGCATCCGGATGAAGCGGGAGAGGTCGCCCCCAGCGCAGAACTCCATGATCAGATAGATGTGGTCGCTGTCCCACTGCAAGGCAATAAGACCTCATCATGCCACACCAGCCAGTTCCACCCACGCGGGTTTGCCTGGACCAGTTTGCCCAGTTGCTGCCACCGAGCAACACTGATACACCCCTGGGAAGCCGGGATGGACCCAAGCCAGAGCAGTTTTGGCTCAGAGTGCCCCCCAGGAAGCCCCCAGCCCACCTGGAAGTCCTTGAGCTCCACGATGTGCGGGTGGCGGATGTTCTTGAGGATCTCGATCTCTGTCAGCAGGTTCTCCACGGACGCTCGGTTCAGACTCCTCCTGCTCACACACTTGATGGCTACCACTTCACGCACGTCCCTCTGCCAAGGACGGGGGTAACCCTGCAGCCCCCCACCCAAACAGCCATCCTGGGGTGCTCCCCCAGTCTGCCAGAGAAGGAGGGGAGGAACCCTTGCGAGGGGGTGGCAGGTCCCAGGCTGGGGGCTGCAGGTCCCAGGCTGGGGCTGTAGGGGTTGTACCCCACGCGGAGGGCTGGAAAAGGGGGGGTCCCACGGGAGTGGCGGAGCAGATTGAGGGGCAGGAGGGGGACCCCCGCGGCGGGCCAGGCCTTACCTTCCTGAAGGCCTTATAGACGGTGGCGTAGGTGCCGGAGCCAAGGCGCTCGGTAAGGATGAACTCGTCCAGGCGCGGCGGGGCCCAGCCGGCCCCGGCCATGGCCCCTCCGGACCCGGCACACGGGGCCGGGACCCGCTTCCGCCTTCCCGGGGCGCCACGGCCTTGGACACGCCCCCGGCCACGCCCCGACAGTGTCACCCACCGTCCTGGCCACGCCCCGACAGTGTCACCCACCGTCCCGGCCACGCCCCGACAGTGTCACCCACCGTCCCCACCCCTCCCGACAGTGTCACCCACTGTCCCCACCCCTCCCGACAGTGTCACCCACCGTCCCCACCCCGACAGTGTCACCCACCGTCCCGGCCACGCCCCACCAGTGTCACCCACCGCCCCCACCCCTCCCGACAGTGTCACCCACCGTCCTGGCCACGCCCCGCCAGTGTCACCCACCGTCCTGGCCTCGACAGTGTCACCCACCGCCCCGCCCCGACAGTGTCACCCACCGTCCTGGCCTCGACAGTGTCACCCACTGTCCTGGCCCCGACAGTGTCACCCACCGTCCCGTCCCCGCCCCTGCCCCGCCCACCTTGGCCGCACCCCCACCCAGCCACGGCCCCGGCTCCGCTCCAGGCCGCGACCCCCGCCCGCAGGCAGGAAGGGGCATCGTATCTGGACCACATATACATTTTATTATTAATAATTTTTTAAACATTAAAAGATCGGACGCGGGGGAAAAAAAATAATAATACAGGAGGGAAAGGGTGTAAAAAGGCTGATTTCTGGGTTCCAGCCCCCTCCGGCCCCACACTAGCACAGGATGGGGGTCTAACACAACCCCCATCCTGGGAAATAGGCATCACAAAGCCAAATCTGCATTAAAACCCCCTCCTCGATACTCAAGACACAGGGCTGAAGCAGGGAGCAGGGGGCATCTGCTGCCATCCACTCCCATGCCTTACCCGTGTCCCAAGGGACATCCCATCTCGGGATGCAGCTGAACACACATGAAACCAGTTCCTTCCCAGCTGGAAAAAAAATTAAACTTGGGAGGAAGGAGGCAGGGAGGAGTCTTCCCTGGAGAAACATTAATTCAAGGTTAGCTGGAGAAGGATGTTGCAGGCACCGTGTGGTGGCTGAACCAGTATCTTCAGAGCTCCTGCTGCTCTGAACTTAGAGCTGGGAGTTAAACCAAAATCTCTTTTTCCCCTCCCTCCCCTGGTTTCACAGAGAAGACTCAGCCCCCATTGATCCCTTCTCCTCCTCTCTGTGTCCAGAGCTGTCACCTGCAGGATCCTTGTGGAAGCAATGGGTCTGCCACGGGGGGACAAGGAGAAATACATCCCTCCACACTCCCCCCACTGCTCCCAGATTTTCCTTCATGCCACGTTATCCCAACTCTCAGAAAGCCAAGCAGTTAACGAGGTCAAAATGCAGCATCGTGTGAGTGTAATAAACCAGAAGTACAGTTTCTGTTCTTAAAATTAATGACAAACTACATGCACATTACAAAACCCCCCCAAAACATCAGATAATCAAATTCTTCGTAGCAAAGGCCAAGAGAAGAGAGAGAGTAAAATCAAAAACCTGCTTCCCCTTGTCTTCCTGCTACACACAGAGCGAGGGGAGGAAGAGACAAACACCTGGTAGGTCCTGGATAGAGAAATATATTTACTTCAGAGAGTGTCTCCCCCATCTCCCCACACCCTAAAATAAGACAGGGAAAACTAATCATCAAAACCGTAGCTCAGCTGAAGCTAAAAAAACCTCTTCTCATCAGGAGTCGGCATCACAGAGCTCACATGGTACCCCCAAAAAGTGCATTTTTAGGGAAAAAAAAAAAAAAGGAGTGATAAGGGCAGAGAAAACAAGGGGGAGGCAGCCCGGGAAGGGCTAGTTTTGCTGGGAAGGGCTAGTTTCCCCGGAAAGCACTCTGTGCAGCTGAGGAGGCTGCCCCGGCCGCTGCATTCTGGAAGCTCCTGTTGCTGAGGATGCCTTGGGAAAACTCTTCCTGGGCCCTTTGGAAACTGGCTCCTGTGCGCCGATACAGGGAATGCACCTGGAACAAAAGGAGAGGGAAAAAATTAGTGAAGTCAGCGTGTAGCTGTGCAGTTGCTGCATACACCTTGCTTTTCCTCAGCTCTGCTACTAACCAGCTCCCTGGAGCCAGGGGCTCCCCTGCTCCCAGCATGGGATGCTGCCGATTTCAGGAGACCCTCATTTGCTGTAAAATATGGAATTCTTAGCAAAACTGCTGGTTTCAGGCCCAAAACTACACTCCCCACACTGTAATGGCACAGACTTAACCCGGCGTTTACTGGAGGGCAGGACCTGAAGGTGCCAACAAGCATCAGGTATTTCCTTCCAGACAAATGTAGGAGAAAAGAAGCAGCAGCAATAGAAAGAGGATCAGTCCAGCCTGTCCTTGCCTATCCCAAACCTCCATTTCTGCTGTTCCTGCAGAAATCCAGTCCTGGTGTGGTCAGGCAGGAGAAGGAAGGAGGGTTGTGTTTAGAAGCCAGCATGAAGGCACTCACTGGGATCCCACCAGGCTTTGAAAAGCCTCACAGCAGTGAGCAGTGATTTTAAGGCCTTGGATACTGAATAGAGTTATGGCCACCTCTGCTCAGCCAGGTCCAGGCAGGACAAGAGGGAATGGTTTTAAACTGGGAGCAGGTTTAGATTGTATATTAGGAAGAAATTCTTTTCTGTGAAGGTGGTGTGGTCCTGGTACAGGTTGTCCAGAGAAGCTGTGGCTGCCCCATCCCTGGCAGTGTTCAAGGCCAGGTTGGATGGGTTTTGGAGCAACCTGGTCTAGAGGAAGGTATCCCTGCCCATGAAAGGGAGTGGAACAAGATGAGCTGTAAGGCCCCTTCCAACTCAAACCATTCAGTGATTCTGTGATTCTAAAGGGAGCCTACTTTCCTACCTCAAGTGTTCAAGAAATTTGGCATCGATGCAGGAAGCACAAGCAAAAATACTTTCGTATAAATCTCCTGACCTGCCAGCGCCCCGATTCCATCTTCGTTCCCCGACAGGTGAAAGGAGGCAGAAAACCCAGGGTATCCTGGGAGCAGCCTGACCTCCTCGCCTCCAAGCCACTCACCTGCTTCAGGAGGAAGAGGGAGAGAACGGCACACAGCGTGAAGAACGCTGCCACCACCATCATGATAATGGCCACGGCCAGGTTCCTGCGCACCTCCGACAGCGCCGCGATCCATCCGCTGCGGGGAGAGGAGAGTGGGTGAGCACGGACAGCATTCCAGCACAAGATGAGATGGAGCAGTGGAGGAAGAGGCACCCACTGTTGCACAAGAGCTTTAGGGGAAGGTTACAGGGAAGTACAAAACCAATCAGCTGTGAAAACAGGAACCCAGGGCTCATCCAGGCCCTCGTTTTGGGGGAGAGTTTCCACTGTTATTTTTAGATAAGGATCGTGTTCATCCCACCCACATTCTAGTCCTGGATCACCTCGCTTAGGCAGGAAAATCAATACCCTTGGCGCCACCGGTGACTTCCACAAGCACCTTCTCAAAATTCAGCCAAGTGGGTAAAGATAGGCTGGAACAGCTAAATTGGAAGAGATCAGCTGGCAGGTCTGGAGCCTGGATGTATGTGTCACCCTGACAAGGATGTCAGCATTGGGAAGGGAACAAAGAGGAAGGAAAGGAAGAAGTTGGTGAGGCTCTGGCACAGACTTCCCAGAGAAGCTGTGGCTGCCCCATCCCTGGAAGTGTGCAAGGCCAGGCTGGATGGGGCTTGGAGCAACCTGGGATAGTGGGAGGTGTCCCACGGCAGGGAGGTGGAATGAGATGGGCTTTAAGGCTCCTTCCAACCCAAACTAGTCTGTGATTCCATGATTCTAAGTTAGAGCTACAGAAAGGAGGAAATTAGGAGTTGTTGAAGGGAGGGCCAAAGAGGATGCTGGGAATTACCAGCGCTTGGCTGTGGGTGACAATACCAAGACACCTTACTCAAAAAACCCTCTTGGGTGCTGGAGAAAGGAATCTTTCCAACTGCTAAACCAAACATGCCATGAGCCACTGGGAGAGTGGGAATCAAGTGAGCCAAACCATCCCATCTGATGTGCTGCACATCTTCTCACTCGTCACAGGGAAGCAGAAAGGCACACCATGCACTGCAGCCAAAAATATATGAGCTGTCTGGCGGGAGGAAACGAAGCAGAAAGCTACAGGCAGGCTCTCCCAGCCAGACTAAACCCGGAGTGCCCCCTCCCCATCCCCTGTGACTCAGGCAGCGGGGAGGGAGGCCGAGGACATCTCTGCCCACAAGCCCTTCTGCAGGCAGTGGGCAAAAATAGACAGCAGCTTCACTGCTCACCTGAAGGCTTCCCCTCAGAACAACCACGAGCTGTTAACCTTTTCCCTGTTCTCCGTAACTCCAGAATCTGATCTGTGGCCAAGGCAGCAAGGCGAAAGGAAAGGCTGTGCTTTCCCTGCAGGGCACAGCTGCTGACACGAGGCTGCTGGACCTGCTCCAGAAGCCTAGGCTCACCCTTCTGTACAATGTCACTGAGAAAGGGTGAGGGCAAAACTCTCTCTGCTTGTTTTTTTGAAGCACTGCCCACTGGCAACACGCTCCAGAGAAACTCAGGAAGAGTTTGGGTACAGAGTCAGGCTGGCAGCAGCAGCATCAGGCTAAGCTGCACCCAGATTCCAGGTCAGAGATCCCTCAGCCCCACACCACCTCTCTCAGGGCTGGCTCCAGTTTAACAAAAGGTAGACATGGTCAACACTATAGGCTCAGCATCAAGAAGGAGCAAATATGATCTGTATTGAGGGAGAAGGCAGTAGAAGGGGCATGGAAGAGTTATCACAGAATCCCAGAATGGTCTGGCTTGGAAGGGACCTTAAACTCCATCACATTCCACCCACCCTGCCACGGGCAGGGACACTTTCCACCAGCCCAGATTGCTCCAAGCCCCACTGAACCTGGCCTTCAACACTTCCAGGGATGGCGCAGCCACAGCTTTTCTGGACAGCTGGTGCCAGGGCCTCACCACCCTCACAGGGAAGAATTTCTTCCCAATATCTAATTATTCCCACACTGCCCTCAGCGCTGGCCACGGCAGCAGCAGCACAGGAATACACTTTTGCTGTGACTAGGATGGGAAGAGCAGAGCAGGGAAGCAGCCCAGCTGGGACCCGCCAAAGCTGTGCAAGGGCTGAGA